CCTCTCCCTTTTGTTTGCCAGATCTCAGAACTGGAAGGAAACCTGCAAACACTGAGGAATTCCAATTCTACTTAACAGGAATCATTCCTTGACCGGACAATAATTAATCCCCTCCTGTTGTCCTCCCTCCCCTGTCCTCAATACTTCACCCCGCCCCCTACCAGCCTGGGGACAGGTGCCCCGACTTCCCCACCCTCCACCCCACCTCCCCCAGCTTCAGGGACCAGAGGGCCTGGGCAGACAGAGGTGGCTGGAAGGACGGCCTCCTTCTTGCCCTATGGGGCTGAAGCACAGAGGCCAAGGGATGTTAGGGTTGGCCTGGGTGGTGGACGGACACAAGGACCTGCAGACCATACTGCCAGACTTTACAACCTCCAGCCTTTGTCTCTGGACTGGAATGGGGCTGGGGGCTCTCCCAGCATCTCACCACCTGGAGGCTGCTCCCTGCCCATGGGGCTCCTAGGTGGCCCCTGGGCCTCTTGACTTGAGATTCTACCTTCTTGGCCCTTTCCCTGTCCCCCATCATTGTGCTGTCTCTGTTGCATTCTGACCCTCCCGCTGGGAGGGGCTGCCTCCACACCTCCCCCAATCCTGGTCCCCCCACCCAGGAGGGATAGAGCCCACCCTTGAGCCTGGAGGCTGGGCCTGGCCCTGCACTGATTTCTCATGCACCCTTCAGGAAAAGGGGAGAGTCCAGGACACCTGGTTCCCAGCTCCCCCTTTCTTGGGGCAGCAGCCCTCAATTTTTCCTTGTGCCTCCCCACCCCCAGGTGCCAAATAGCCATAACCTCCTCCTCCTCCTGGAACTGTTCTGTGGCCTCTCTGGGCTCCAGGTTTCCTGGCCAAGCCTGGGAAGGCTAGGGAGGAGAGGTCAGCTTAGGGGGCCTGGCTACAGAGCCCTTGGTCGTAGGCAAGGGGAATATTTCTCACTGGAGAGCCAGGCCCTGCCCTGCCCAGGGCCACACCTGGAAGCCTTGTACTAACATCGCAAATTCAGCCTCACTGCGCCCACACCCACAATTTTCCAAGGTTTTGACTGGAGGGCAAAATTTTACTACTACTCATCTTTTTGGAGACCAGGGCTGCCCCACTGGCAGCCTGCTTTCTAAGTGAAATCCTCTCCGTTTCCCCACTTTAACCCCAAATTGGGGCTTGGACCAAGGGAGGTGAGGACCCCCCCGCCCAGGTCTCCTCCCCATTCAGGATCCATCTCTCATATTGCCTCTTCCTCCTGCCCTTGCCCCAGACTGGATTTTTGTTCATTTTTTAAAAACAGACAGCCCCCATCACATCCGTTTGGGCTTCTCGTCCCCTGTAAATAGACCAAGCCGTCTATCAGTATTTCTCAGCCCCCTCCCCACCGCCCCCCGCCCCCAGACGTGCCCCTACCCCCTGAAAGAGCTGGCTGTCTCAGTACCCGGGCCCCTGCGCTTCACCTCCCCTGCCGAGGCAGAGGGAGGGGGCGGGGCCAGGGGGCGGGGCCGCGGGGCGCTTCCGGTCTCTCGGGCCGGCACCGCCCCTGCCCCCGCCCCCTCCCCCCGCAGGACTGCGTCTCTGTATATAATATATATATGTATGTATTGTTCCCGGTTTTGTACGGACCATGCCCTCTGTCAGGTCGTCCCCATAAAAGCAGCCCCCAGAGCCTCGCTGCCTGGTTTCTTGATTCGTGGGTGGGGGCGGCAGGGGGAAGGTTAGGGTCGTCTGTCGGTGCCCCAGGTACCCTGCTACTGGTGCCTTCTTCGCTGTGAAGATCCTTCTCATGGGGAGCCTGTATTTCCCGCCTTCAGCAAACTCCCTCTTTGCCACCATTTCCCCCATCAGCACCCATGCTTTTTATTTATTCCTCTTGGTTAGGGCTGGGGTTTCTAGAGCGTTCCTTAGCCCCGTTGCATTGCCTCTTTTTAGGAGGCCTCTGGCAAAATTCGGAGGCTGGGTTAGATGTGAGACGGTAAGGTGAACCGCAGATCCCTTCCCTGAGAAGTCTAACCTCATGGGGATATGCAGCCTCTACTCTCACAAGGCACCCTGCCTAAGGTCCTGAAGGATTCAAGGTCACCTGGGGGTGGGTGGGAGGTGAAACGTCAGAGCAGTTTTGTGCCCAGGGTCCTAGAGGATCTTTCTGTCCTAGAGAATGTAAATAGCCCCAGGCCCCTGCTCTGTGCCAACACAACTCACCGGCTCTAATAGAATGGGTCTGGCAGTCCAGATAGATGCCAGGGTCCTAAGGACAAGATTTGGTGAAGTCCCAGAGAGCAGGTGGGAGGTAGGGCCAAGGCTCAGTCTCCGACACCAGCCTTGCCTTGCTTGCTCTGGGTGCTGGAGTGTGTATGTATGAGAAAACAGAAGCATAAGGCACTTGCGCTCAGTGGCCTGGCCCCCAAGGGGATTCTAACGTTCCCTTTTGCCTGAAGGAATGAAGTCCCAACATCAAGGCTCTTCAAGGTCACTCTGATGGGTCCCTGAGAGCACCTGAGGTGACTGATCACTACCAGAACTCCACTGGCAGTCAGTACCTGAGGCAGCCACTCCCTTGAGGACAGTTTTCTTACCCAATTCTCATGTCAAGCCAAATTCAGACTTCCCACTCCTTCCTCTCAAAAATCCTAGTTCTACCCCGCAGGGCCAGAGAGTGACCATCCAGCCTGCTACCCCCTTTGGGGGGCATCTGGAAACCTGGGGATGGTGACCATGCCTCTCAAGGCATTTTCTCTGGGTGGCTCATCTTTGGGACGCTTCTCGGAATAAAGATCCAGATCATGGCTCCAGCCAAGAAATTCCAAGATGTGAAGTGGCTTGACCAACCTGGGTGGGAAGGTCGACGTGGGGTGGTGATGGCTCCTGCTGGTCTGACTGGAGCTCTTTCTAGGTTGAGGTCCTGCTGCCCGCACCGCCCCCCTCCCTGCCCATCTGTCCTGTGTATCACATGAGGGGCCCGCACATTGTATGTTCCAAAGGGTCGGCCACATGGTCCCCTGTTTCTAAGCCCGAGTGTGTTGTACGGCTGAGGCGGGGTGGGGGGGTGCAGTTTGCTTTGAGTTTCTCAGGCCTAGGATGTGACATGACCATGAGCTATGTCCACGTTTGGGGCTATGTCAAGTGGCCATGGGCAGGCCCATGGGAGGCTTGTGGCCTCAGCCCTGCCCTGTCATCTGCTCCATTCTCAGGAGTTTGAGCAGCTTTGCCACAACCCCAACACTTGCCATGGGGCGGGGCGGGGGGGATCAAATGAGGAACATTTTCTGAATTCCCTGAAGCTTGAGCATCACTAGGAACAGGGGTTCCTCTCAGATCCTATGGCCTAGAAGACACCCTCCCACAGAACCCACCCCCGCCTCCCAGCACTGATGTTACACACCCATGATCTCCCTATTTCCTACAGGCCTATATAACACTCCCTCACACACTCAGATCTTACCAGAGGCCTGAAAACCATGTCCTCTTTCAAAACCCCAGACTTAACCCTGTAGGATGTCACCCAGAGTCCCCACCGCCTCCCCAGATCTCCACAGCACTCCGCGGCTGCCAGCAGATTCTGAAGACACGCAGAGACCCCCAAACTTCCCCAGGTATCCTAGGCTACCTTCAGCCCTCAAAGCTTAATAATCCTGTTTTCACCCACAGCCTCAAGACCATCCTGGCTCAACACACCACCTCCCACAGCCCCTCGGAGATCTGTGACTACAGAGAGTCCAGAGGGTCCTTAGGGAACTGTCCCTACAGGCTGTACCACCCCACTGAGCTCTGGACTCCTCTATCCAACCTCACCATTTGCTCTTGGACAGATCGCTTTCATTTTTCAAAGTTTCTGTTTAACCCCCTCTTCGAACTGGGGTGATAGAAACAACTAGGTTTATTGTGAGAGTGACAACGACAATCAGGGAAAAGTGCTTAGGGCGATTCCAGCGCTGTATGGCAGCTTGTTGATTATTACACTGTCTCCCCCAGGGTTGGCCTGCCACCACCTCCAGCTCACCACTCCAAGTGTGATCTCATCCCTGCCCACCCTCCCTCCAGGACTCCAGCCTCAAGCCAAGCCCTCCTCCCTCGGTGGCCGGTGGTCCCCAGATCTGATCAATTTCTTCCACTCTGTATCCTGAATAGTGCTCAGCTTGATCTGCAATCTTCATGCCTACTGCCCTCATCTCTCATCAGCCTCACCAAGGCTCTCCCTGCCTCAGGCTGCCCTCTCCAATCCACTCTCCACAGAGGAGCCAAAGAGTTCTCCCTAAAAGGCAAATAAATCGGAGCCCCCTCACTCCTCTGTTACTTTCCCCTATGGCTCCCAGGATAAATGGCAAGCATTCCCTCCACCCCCGCACCTTCGCAGCCTCACTCCTCTTCCTACCTTGCCCTCCACCGCCCAGCCCCACTAACACTTCTACCCAGTCCTGGCCTGCCTGGTAGCCAACAGCACCTCCAGCCGGGAGGCTCCCAGATCACCTCCACTTCCACCCTCACCCACCCCCAGGCCGCGCCGGCGTCCTCCGGTGCGCTGTCTCGGCGTCGCCGAAGTGTCCTCTGTGAACCGGGGCTCAGGGCACCCAGGCCTGTGACGGCCTCCCCACTGGTCTGTGCCCCCGCTCCCGAGGAGCCCCCGACTCCTGGGCCTGGGTGGTCCTGTTTCCCGCGATGGCCTCAGGCCTTGGCGCACACATTTGCTCGATGGACGTCCAAAGATTGGATGAATCGGGAGCCTGCACAGACCTCGCAGAAGAGGCGGAAGCCCGGTGGGTCCGGAGGCGGGGCTGTTCCCCCCGCCCCCCGCCGCCCCGGACTTCCACGGCCGGAGTAGTAGCCGCAACTCGGAATCCCCTCGCCCCGCCGCCGCGCGGGGCCGCCTCCTCCCTCCCCTGCTGCCGCCTCCGCCCCCTCTCCCTCCCTCCCTCCCGCTCTTTGTCTCCCGGCGCCGGCCTCCCAGCCACGCGCCCCCCGCACCGCCCCTTCCTGGGAGACCCCAGCAGACCCCAGCGGACGCGACGCGACGCGTGTGGGCCTGCCCGGCGGGGGGCCTGCGTCCGGCGGGTGGCGGGTCGGGGAGGTGGTTCCTTCCCTCTCTCCCTCCCCCCTCCCTCGCTCACACGCACACACACAAACACGCGCACACACACGCGCGCACACACGCGTACACGCGCGCGCGCACGGAGCATCCTCCCGTCAGGGCTCTGGTCCAGCCCCGCCCGCGCCTCCCGCTCCCCGCAAACCCTCTCCTCCTCTCTCGCTCCCCCCATCCCTTACCGCTCCCGGACCCTCGGCGCCCGCACCCGCGCCCGCCCCTCTCCCGGGATGGAGCGGCTCGAGCCCGCCCGCAGTCCCCCGCGGCCGGGGTGACGGCCCCCCGCCCCTCCCCGCCTGGCCCGCGCCCCGAGCACCATGGGCCTGAGGGGCTCCCGCGGCGCAGGACTCTGAAGATGATTGATGCTGGAGGTGAGGACCCCGACGTGGACTGGGAAGCAGAGCCGGGGTCACCGGGGCTCGCGGCGGGACCCTGAGTGGGGTCGGATAGGGCCTTTCTTCCCCATCCCTGGGGGGCTGCGCGGAGCTGGGGTGCTGGGCAGTCGGGGGAGGGGGCGGAGATAGGATTTGTGTCCCTAATCCTCTCCCTCCCGGAGAAATTAATTTTAAAAAACTGGTGTGGGGGGAGGGGGAGAGGGCTTAACTCCTTCTTGCCCGGCGCGGAGTTGGACGGCTGGACGGGAGAGAAACTAGCCGCCCGGCCCCAACTGAGAGTGCGGTAGGTGCCCCGGCCTCCGCGGTGCGGGGAGCGCTGTCCCACTCGCCCGTCGCCGCATCCCAGGCCTAAGGGAGGGGGCGTCGCTTTCTCTAGCTCCTACTGCCCCCCTATCCCCAGCCTCCCCTCCCGGCCTTTCCTTCCCGGTCTTTCCCAGTTGCACTTCTGTCTCGGTCTCTTTCTCCTCTTCCAGGGCCCCCTTCCTCTTCCCTGCCCCGCAGGGGCCCGTGCCTCTCCCTACAACCGCCCCTTGGCTCTCTCCTCAAAGCCCTCCCTGGAGCCTCAGTCCGAACCGGGCCAAGGGATCCCGGCCTCCAGCACTGATTCCTCCGCCCAATACATCTCTTTCCTGCCCTTTCTTGGCTCTCTCTGCAGCTCGGGTGGACAGTCTCCACCAACCTGTCTGTCTCTGTTCCTAGTTCCCACTCCCCTCTGGGGCTTGTGCATCCTTTTCTCTTTCTCCTCCCCTGGCTCTCAGGAAGCCTCCTGTGCTCCCAGAGAAGAGTCAAAGGTCACAGGTGCTACTCCTCTGGGAACTGAAAGCTTTTGTAAGAAAGAGTGGCCTGGTAGCCCTGGTGCCCAGACTGTGTCCTGAGGGACAGGTTCGTTTCCACCTCGTGGCAGTTCCTGGTTAAATGTGTACGTGTTTGTGTGTGTGTGTGTGTGTGTGTGTGTGTGTGTGTAGGAGGGTGAAGGTGGAGGGGAGCTTCTCCAAACTCCTTTTTGGTGAGAGGGGCCTGGTGACCTCTTGGATGGCCTGCTTTCCAGGGTTCCCCATGGAACAGTGTAGGATGGATCCCTCAAACACACCCCAGGTAGCTGACGGAGGGAAAGAAAGACATTTGTGCTGAATCAGGATGGATTAGACACAGGTGTGGGCTGGTAGGCCCAGCCTACCCCCAGATGATACCGGAAAGACTCTGTCCACAAGGGGGTCTTCACCCTGGACTGGGACTTTGAATAAAGAGCACATGGGATCTCCATTCTCAGCTAATGTAAGAGAGGAGGCACCACTACTGGCCTCAGAGAGCCTCCTTCTGATGGGAGAGGCCGTTCTTATCTCGAGAGGGTCCCTCATCTGATGGGAATACCCTCCCTTCTCCCCAGGGAGCTTTCATCTGATGCAGAGGAGATCTGACCCATATTAGGGAATCCGTGAAGTATGAAAAACCCCTATTTTCCAGTGGCTGGGAAAGGGTGAATTTAGAAATTGTGTGGACAAATGGGAGGAGGGTGGGCTGTCTAGGACAGCTTTCTGGAGGAGGGGGCAGCCGGGTCCTGGTCAGCTGAGGCTTGGTGATTGAAGGAGGCAATTTTGCTCATTCTTAGGGGCAACCTCTTTCCAAGATGGCCCTTCAGGCAGGAAGAGAGGTTCTAGAATTTCTTTGCTACTAGCACCCAGAGTTCAAGAACGGCAAGAGAGTTCTTGGAGGGCCCATGTCCGCTGGCCCTTTCTCACACCTCATTTCCTGCTTTCAGCCCCAAGCATCATCCACAGGGCTTGGGGTGGAGATAGTTTAGAAGCTTTTTCCAGTCCTAGACAGGATGGCCAGCTCCCCTTCCTCTCCCTTTCTCCCTTCTCCCTGCAGGGTCCTCTCCTCATGGGCACCCCTCCAAAATTGCAGACCATCCCCCAGGATAAGGCTGGAGGGCAGGAGACAGGTGGAGTTTGAATTCCGCCTCTTCTCTTTTGCACCTCAGTTTTCCCATCTGTAAAGTGGGCATAATAAGAATCTCAAGCCCACACGGCTCACCGTGAGATGGTGTGTATGTAATATCAGGAGAGAAATGTTGGAAAAGACCCCAGCAAGCATGAGGCCTAGCCTTCCCATGCCTGTCAATTGCATGTCTAGCCCAGCGCCCTGCCCTGCTCACGGGCACCTGAGTGTCAGCAGTAACTGGAAATCATGTCCCAGCCCTGCAGCGTGCCCCTGCCGCTGAGCTTCCCCCCCCCCCCACCCCCGTCCCCTTGTCCCCCACTTGCTTGGTATTCCCCTTCCCCTCTCACTCCCAGGCCTTGGTTTAGGGCTGCTGCCATCCTGCCTCTGCTGGGAAGCCTGCCCAGATTGTTTCAGCTGCGTCCATCCCGCTTCCCCACCTGCCTCCCTTCTTGCTTCCCACCAAAAAGCAAAACCAAACCAAGTCCCAAGCCGTCTCACTTCCTGCCTGAACATACTTGCAGCACAAAGATTTGTCCACTGTGGTGCTGTGAGTACTCCTCATACCCTTCTGCATCTGTGAGTCTGTCTGGAACGGGGAGAACTGCGAGTCTGTCAAGAACAGGGGCCCTGCTGATGGTGCCAGGTTCCCAAACAGCTCGTATTCAAAGGCATGTGGTGAGCACACCAGTGATGGGGGGTGGGGAGCAGGCAGGACTGGGTGACGGATGGCATGATGGATGGGGGGCTAGTATGAGCTGATGGATGCAGAGATGGGAGGGTGGATGGATGGATGGATAGACGGACAAATGGATGGCTGAGTAGGTGGGTGGGTAGATGGATGGAAGGACCTGGATTCTGCTCCTGAGTTTGCCATCGCCTTGTTATGTGACCTTAAGCCAGTCATTCTTCCCTCTGTTTCTTTATTTGGAAAATGAGAGGATTGCATTTAATCATCTCCCAAGATCTCTCCCAGGTTTGCTGTTGGACAGTTTATGATGATCAAACGTTTTGAAGGAATGCTGATGATGGAAAGACCCAAGACATTGTGGGGGAGGGAAGGTTCCGTGAGCCATGTGAATGCATACAGTAAATCAGCCTGGACCAAAACCACAGGACTCAGCCTGTGTCTACACTCTGAATTTGCTTCTGCCCCTACTCTGCCATGTCTGCTTTCTGCCCCAACTCCCATCCTCCAGGTTGTGGTTCTGATGACTTCTTCTCCAAGGGGTTCTAGGGGAAGCAGGAGTTCTAGGGGGAGCAGGAGTTCTAGGGGAAGGTGAGGGGCCAGAAGGCCAGGAATAGGCAGCCAGGGGCAACCCCCTTGTCACCCTCCACCAACCTGAACCTCTTATCCATCATCTTTCTTTCTCTCTTCCCTCAGCTCTCTCGAGTCATGGCTTCTTCAAAGCTACGAGAACCTGCGGATGAGGTTTTTGGTAAGTTCTGTTTGCTCTAACTCTAGCCAAGGCCACCGGCACTGGAGGGATTCCCTCTGGGACATCAGTGTGTGTCTTTGTGCCTTTGTGTGTGTGTATTGTGGCCTGGCCGCCTGAGTCTCTACCATGACACTCTATGCTAAGGACAACTGTGACGATTAAGGGTCTCCATTTATGAAGTGCTGCCTCATGCCAGGTGCTAGGCCAAACCCCCAACTCACAATGTCGTTTATGCCCCGCAATAAGACCAAGAGGAGTGCCCATTGTACAGACGAGGAGCCGAGAGCACAGAGTACCCAAGTGGCTTCTTTAAAGATCATGTGGCAGGTTAGTGGCAGAGCTGGGACTAGAAGTCCAGACTGGGTGGCCATACACCTGTATCCCAGCCCAAGTGACAGCCATTATAGCCATATCTCATGGTAATGGCCCTTGGCCTACAGGATATGTGTGGAAATCAAATGCACAGAACAGAGTCGCAGTGCCCCCAGGCCAGCCTGCTCTGGACACATGGGGGGTGGTGTGCACACAACACACCTGCCTGCTCCATCGTGTACCCTCTGCCATCTTTCCGTTGGGGGTGGGGGGGGTGCAAAGCCCAGGCAGGGCAGAGTTCCCAGCATGCACTGGGGCGGAAAGGCTGGTTCCCAGCATGCATATGGGTGGAAAGGCTGGTTCCCAGCTGGATTTGGCGGAGGAGTCAGGGAATAAGGAACTTGGAGGACCACGAGGAACGTGGAGGGAGAGGTTGAGACAGAAGCTCTTGGCCGATGCCTGTAGCATGTGTATAGCCCTTGGGACTCATGTTGGTGTGCACGGCCTCAAGGGGCTCCCCGGCTTCTCATCTCTCCCTTCCCTTCCCTCTCCTCCTCCCCAGCTCACCACCTTCTCCCCTGTGCGGCCACATGCCTCCCAGCTCCCAGGAACGCTGTTTTCCCTGGCCTCCCTGGGGCCACGGACTCCTCCAGCCTCCAGCCAGCTGTGGGCCTTAGACTCTTGGGTCTCACCATCTGCACCAGGCCTGGCCCAACAGAAGCAAGCTCCCCCTCTCCTAGGCTCCTGGGCCTCCATTCCCACCCCCAGCCCCAACTCTTCCTGTTTTCCTTCTCCCGGACCTGCTGAGGTAGCTGGCTGCCTGGCCTGCTTCCTGACCGGCAAGGCAATTAAATATTCATGACTCCCCACTGCCCAGGGCTGGAAAGAGAAAGACGGAGAGAGACCCACCCACCCTGAGATGGAGGAAGGCCAGGCAGGCAGGTAGAGCAGGGGTCCAGAGGTGAGGCAGGCCCCCACCTTGCCTCAGAAATGCCTCAGTCCCCTAGGGGTCCCTTTGCTCCCTAGACCCTCCAAGATGAGCCGCCTGCAGTCGCGATGTGGCCCAGAGTCGGGAGAAGGGCCCCTCTCCCCAGCCCTGGGAGTCTGGGCACCGTGGAGAGGATGGTGGGCAGCTCCCTGCCCCACCGCTCAGAGCGGGAAGAACAGAGAGCCAGGAGGACTGGATGCTTCCTTAACTCCCTCTGCTCCTCTGGCCAAACCTTTCCTCTCCAAGCCTCAGTTCCCCCACCTGTAAAATGAGGGGTTGGACTCACGAGCTGCTCCCATCTCTGCCTCAGAAGAGGTGTAGCAGGCTTGGTCCTTACACCCTGAGCCTCTGGAGTCAGCCTACCTGGAACCCTGGCTCCTCCCTTCCCTGGGGCAGATTAAGGCTGCCCTGGGGATTCGTGGAGTCTCTTTCTCCTAGGGTTGTGGGGAGTTTAAATGAGCTCATAATTGTTAAGCTCTTAGAACTGGTGCCTAGCACAGTGAGAGCTCAGTCAGTATTAGCCTTTATTATTCTGTTCTGTCCTCAGTCCTTGCTGCTTGCAGACAGTGCTTGGAGATGCCATGTGTCACTGGGGAACAGGGGACAGAAGGCTTCCTCCCTCAGCTCAGCCCCAGGGCCTGGAAAGGCCAGAAGCAAACCAGGGGCCTGGAAGGAGCCGGAGGAGTGGTGTCAAGGCTGGGGTCCCAAACAGCAGTCCTTTGACAGGACCTCTCCTCTCACCAAGCCCCCACTGCCACCCCTGGACACCTGCAGCAGGCCCTGCGGGGGTCCACCCTCCCCTGCGGCCAGGCCAGTCCCCTCTCCTTGCAGGCTCCACTGGCCCACACCATCCCTTCTCCTTAGAAAGCTCCTTGCTCTTCCTACAGCCTTGGCTCTTTCTCGTCTCCCAGACCTCAGCCAGGCTGCCTCATCTAAGACAGAGCCCCCAGCCCCTGCCTGTCTCTTTCTTCGCCTCCACAAATACCCCAGGGACCCCACCGTGTGTCAGGCTCTGTGCATGTGAGGCCCCAGGGAGACAGTCACTGCCCTCACAGGGCCTGGCTTCCAGGATGAGGAGTGTGTCCTGGGGAGGAGTGCCCCGCAGAGGAGCACTGGATAGGGATGTGACAGATGTGACGGATGTGACGGATGTGGGCATCAGTGCTTCCCTGTGCCTTGAGGCCATCTCTGCGGGGCAGTGCACTGGCCCCAAAGTATAACTTGGCTTCCTCAATACTGACTGAGCCCCTGCTCTCCCCCAGGCCCGACCCCAGGCTCTCTGGGTCCCCAGCTCGCCCCTCTGCATTGTGCACTTTACCTGGGTCATCTTATTTGACACTCACACAACCCTGGAACGGAGATACTCCTCTTATGACCCCATTTTACTGATGAGGAAGCCAATCCCTAAATGAAAGGAACTTGCCCAGAGTCACCCAGGCAGCAAATGGCAGAACTGGATCCAGCCCCGGCCAGCCAGCTCCTCCTCTGCTGTACAGAGGAGGAAACGTGGGGAACACAGAAGGGGTGAGCTGGAAACCCCCCCTCCCCACCAGGGCCTGACTGGAGGGCTGAGGGGCATGGACTTTATGTTATTGACTTTGGGACCCCGTCACCACTCCTCAGCCTTACCCTGGGTTTCAAAAGCAAGCAGTTATAGGACCAGTCAGAAAAGTGCTTTAGAAAGTTTCCTCTAGCCTATGGGAAGTGGGGAGGGAGGCCGACGGGAGGCCCGAGGCAGGGAGAGCAGGATGCCTGGAGGCTGAGGCCAGGCTTGGGGAAGGGACGGGTGAAGACCTGAGTAAGGCAGTTCAGTCCCCAGGGAGAGGAGAGGCCAGGTTCCAGGGCTGTGAGGAAGGCAAATCAACAGAACTATGTGGGTTTGTTTTTTTTTTTTTCCTTCATTAAAATCTCATTTTCTAAGCACCTACTATATGTCAGACACCAATTCTGGATGAGAGCCATGAACAAAATAGAGGTATGTCTGCCCTCACAGAGCTGACATTCTAACAAGCAGAGAGACAATGAACTAAGTCAGTAAGATAGACAGCATGCCAGAGAATGACACATGATGCAGGGAAAAACCAGGTTGGGGATTTGGGGGGAATTGTACAATGAGTGGTCAGTAAAGTCGTCAGTGAGAGAAAGCATTTAAGCAAAGGCCTGAAGGAGGCAAAGGACAGAACCCTGTAGAAATCTGTGGCAAGAGCCTTGCAGGAAAAGGGAAGAGGAAGTGCAAACGCCCTGAGGTACAGTGAGGCTTGTGTGAGGAAGACCCAGGAGGCTAGGATGGCCAGAGTAGAGGGAGCAAGAGGGGGAGAACTAGAAGCTCAGAGTGGTAAGAGGAGCACAGACTGAATCCGGAAGGCCCCTGAGAGAGCTTGGCAGTTACTGTGCAAGACAGAAGTCCCCGGGGGGTTCTGAGCACAGTAGTGACAAGGGCTGACATGTTTTATCAGGATCACTCTGGTTGCTGTGGTGTTGAAAATAGACTGTAAGTGGGAAAGGGAGCAAAAGGGAAGACCAGCTGGGAGGCTTCTGTAATAACTGAGGCAGGAGGTGATAGTGATCTAGACCAGGGAGGCTGTGTGTCCCCCTCTCCTCTCTCTTCCCCTGACTTCTCCTCCTACCCCCCTTCTCTCCCTTCCCTTCCTCTCCTCTTCACCCTTTTTTCCCTGCTCTCTCTCCTCTTCCTCTCCGTGTGTATGCGCACATGTGCATGTGTGCACACAGAGACACAGGGAAACAGCAGTTTTATTGCGGGAAGTGAGAAGTACAGAGACGAGCCAAATGCATTCCATCGTGCGTTCTGGGACTGTCACTCAAGGCTCATCGGGTCGTGGCCGGCCTTCCACCTCTACTCACTGCCATTGCCCTGGATTAATTTGAATCTAATCCAAAACATCATACCATTTCGCCATAAATATTTCAGTATGTCTAGATGTATTTCGAAAGTAGAGCTAACAGGAATTGCGGCTAGATGAGTTTGGAGAGTGGGAGGGAAAGAGAGTCAAGGGCGACTCCAGCACCTGGCCTGAGCCATCAGGGAGATGGAGCTGCCAGTCATAGCCGGACACAGACACCGAAGCTGCCCGTGGCACATCCAAGGGGAGGGGGCCAGGAGGCAGCGGGCCTGGGGAACTCCTGGCTGGAGCTGGGGCTGAGGGCAAAGCGTAGCTCAGGGCTGTTTGCATCGGGTGGATGGGCCTTTCATGGAGCCGAGGAGCAAAGGGTAAGCCAGTCTGAAGCAAGGTGGTGGGTTCATTCCGATGGATTATTTGAGGACTCGGGTGTGTTTGACACGGCAAGTTCCCTGGTGGGTGCTGAGGTGCCCAAGCTTGGAATTCAGGGGGGCTCAGGGCTGAACCAGTAGGTGATAGTGAAACCAGGCCAGCAACTGGGGTGGCTTCTCTGCAGATAAGAGAAAGAGGAGCAGGCAAAGCTGGGTCAGCATGAGTGATGGGATGGCAGAACCCTGAGATCGTGGGGCAGGGGAATGGGGAAGAAAGGTCTTAACCCATGCTGGATTTGGAAAGAAACTCTTCTGCCTGGAGACCCTAAGCTTGGGGACACTGCAGAGCGAAGGCTTCATTCCCCAGGGGGAGCAAGTAGGAAGAGAAACTAGGAGCAGTCGGGTTTACGCACGGTCCATTGGCTTTGCCTACTCTTCCTTGTCTTCATCCAGGACCCAGCCCGGCACCCCTGACCCCAGGATGGGAGAGGCAGGCCGGCCGCGTGGGGACTGGGTTTTCCTTGATGCCACTACTGTGCTCCCGTTCAGCAGGGCTGGGTCTGAGTGCAGATCTGGGTATGGCACAGCAGGCCAGGGTTCCAGCATGGCCAGTCAGGCTCGGAGCCCAGACCACTGCTAGCTGGTGGCTGCAGGCGAGAGACTGAACCTCTCTGAGCCTTAGTTGGCTCAGCTGTAAATTGTACGTAACCACAGTCCCTAGATCCCTGAGTAGATAAGGTGATGTATGAACATTCTGGCACACAGTAGGCTCTTCTTAAGTGGTAGCTGTTATTACCATCATTGGTCTGGTCTCATCCCCAGCCCTCCTCTCCACAAACCTACCCTCCAGGGGCCCTGGAAGGGGCGCCCCCGCCCCCCGGAATTCCCTACTGCCCAGCATTGCATACTCGCTCACCAGCCTCCTCTCTTGCAAACTCCCACCCAACCTTAGACTGGCTTTGGTGCTCCCTCCCCTGACCCATCCAAACAGGACTGTCCTGTCCTCCTCTGTGCCTGTGAGAGGTCCCACCACACTGCTATATTTCTGTGCTGACGTGTCTGGCTTTCTCCGAGACTGTGAGGACCCCACTCTGCCTCTCATTGGTACTCCCTGTGCTGGGCGCTCAAACCTTTGTGGAATGTCTGGGGGTGTGAGTGCTGGAGGCCTGAGGGCGGGGGGCCTCTGGGCTTCTTGTCCTCACGTGTCTGGTCTCTGTCCCCTTCACCTGGTTCACAGACCTGGACTTGGCTGTGCCAGAGACCGTCAGACTGGACAGCAGTTTACACAAGGCCCGAGCCCAACTACTGGCCAAGGGCCGGAGGCACCGGCCCTCTCGCTCCAGGCTTCGGGACAGCGCCAGCTCTGCAGAGGATGGTGAAGGCTCTGATGGGCCAGGAGGCAAGGTGGGGACAACCCACCCAATCATTGCCCCCCACCCCGAAACTCCCTCCAAACCCTTTTCCAGGGAAACCACAGTCCCAGACTTCTGACATAGTAAGGCGAACAGGGATTACCCGCATTCATTCTGGCTCTCCTGAAACTTTTAAGGAAGGTATTATCATTCCCATCTTACATGTGGGGAGACTGAGGCTCCGAGAGGTTCAGTAACAAACTCACACAGTTAGGGAGTGAGGGAAATGGGATTAGACCCCAGGCTACGGGACTGAAGCCCGCCCCCCCACCCCCGCCAAATCCCCCCACCCCACTCCTCACTGCCCAGCCACCCCCATGGCCCGTGGGCACGAGGACAAGCCTCCCTTCTCAGGACCCCAGTCCGGGCTCCTCGCTGCAGAGGCTCCCTCGAAGTTTGCAGAGTGAAACCAACTCCCAGCCCCTGGGGAGGCGGGGAAGAAGGTTGGCAGTGAGCGGCCGCCCCTTCCCCCAGGTGACCGACGGATGCGGGAGCCCCCTGCACCGGCTGCGCTCGCCTCTGCACTCGGGCCCCGGGTCCCCGGCCGGGGGCTCTTTCTGCCTGGAGCCCCCGGGGTTGCGGCGCAGCCTGGACGAAGACGAGCCCCCGCCCTCGCCGCTCACACGCTACCGGCCCCTGCACAACGCCGCCTCGCACGAGGGCCTGGCCGCCGCCTCCTGCTCGCCGCCCCGCTCCGCGCCCTCCTCCGACAGCTCGCCCAGCTTCGTGCGCCGCCACCCGCGCGCAGAGCCCCACAGCGAAGGTGCGTGGCAGCCGGTGCGGCGCCCCCTGCTGGAGAGCCCTGACTGCAGCGGCCCCTCCGGTCCTTCCCCCGACCCCCGCCAAGCAGAGGGTTGGACCAAGTTGGGCAGGGCGGTGAGGGACGAGGAAGGGGTGGGGTTGGGGGGACAACACACTGTGGCTTCCTCCATCACTTACCCAGCGCCTACTATGTCACTGTTGGGCACTGGGACACACAGGGAAACAGAGGCACTCTTTGCCTTCAAGAGGCTTGCAGTTTGGGGGAGAAACAATCTAAGAATTCCTTATAGTTTAAGGGAGAAGTGATCAAACCATCCCTTAATTAAATATGTAGTTACAAGTTGTAATAAGTGCACGGTTGCAGCGCGGGAGGGGGCAGCACATAGCGGGGTGAAATGACCTCGTGGGGAACCTCCTGTAAGGCTTCTCTGAGGAAGTGACATGTGAGCCAAGATTGGAAGGCGGGTTAGAAGTCAGTCAGGGTAAATGAACAGTGAATAGTAGCGGTCCCTACTTTTTCATGGTTTGCTTATGGCTTTCATAGCTATTCCATGAAATAGGCAGGTTTGTTTCCTGTGGGTCCGGTGTTAGCCTCATATTTGGGACGAAGGAAGCTCAGAGAGGTAGAGTGATTCCCTCAAAGTCACACAGCTAGTGAAGGGCACCCGAGCCAACTTGCCTGCTTCTAAGTCAAAAGAGGCAGCTGAAGGAGGCAGGCAAGCCACTCCACAGGCTATTTTCTTCCCTCTCTTCCCCAAAAGATGACAGCCGGGATGCCAGCCCACCTGAGCCTGCCAGCCCCACCATCGGTCTGGATAAGAAGACTCGCCGAAAGTTCCTGGACCTGGGGTGAGTGGAGGAGGGGCCAGAAGCAAAGGCTTGGAGCCTTGGGGTGCAGGGTAGCACAGCAGGCAGCACTGCCCCACTCCCCCCCACCCTCCCTCACAGGGTCACCTTACGCCGAGCATCCACTAGCAAGAGCCGGAAGGACAAGGGCAGCAACCGCTTGTCCATGGGCAGCAGGTAAGCTTCCGCTCATAGTTCCGGGGGGGTGGGGCGCCCACCCCACGGTGCCCACACCCATGCTGGGTGCTCTCTCCACAGGGAATCAGTGGAGGGGTCCAGCAGGTCGGGGGGCTCCCCGTTCCTGCCCTTTTCCTGGTTCACAGACAGCGGCAAGGGCTCGGCATCCTCTGGCAGCACCACCTCGCCCGCCTGCTCCCCTAAACATGAGGGCTTCAGCCCTAAGAAGTCAGCTTCTCAGGTGAGTCCAGGGCTTCCCTGGCCCCCATATGGGCCCCAGACTCAGATGATGTGAGGGGGTGGGGCTGGGATCCAGGCATTCCTGGGGTCCGTTTGTCTATCTGTTTGTCTATCCATGGAGCCATTCTGTGATTCACTAGTTCTTCCATTCTCTGAGTTCATTCATTGGTTTCCTCACTCATTCACATTCTGAGCAGCTCCTCCCCTGAGTCATTCACCATCGTCAACCCACTGAGCACCAGGCTTCCCTCGTTAGCCTCCCAGCCTGAGGCCGCCCCCGTTCGCGCTTCTGCCTGGCTCCCCACGTCCCACCCCAGTCGTCCCAGTCGTCCCAGTGGCCAGGCAACCTGTGTGGTGGGGTGAGGCTTGGAGGAAACGGGACGAAGGGGACCCAAACTAGCTAGTGCTCAGGAAGCAGGGAGAAGTCAGGGACAGAAGCAGCCACAAGTGTCTGCTTCTGCTCATGCCGCGCTCTAGTCTAGACAAGGCTCCAAGGGCTGCTTTGGCTTTCCTTTCACAAAGCGCAGGCGCGCTTATCCCAGTTGTCCGGATGAACGACTGATGGCCCAGAGAGAAGGGACTTGCCATGTGGGTTCGATGCAGGCTCCATGCCTGTTCTGTGGTTGTTCCTTCTGTGCTACTGGGGCTGAGGAGATCAGAAAGCTGGGAATTCAGGGGAGAAAGAGTTCCGTCTAACTTGAGACTTCCTGATTTCCTATCAGCACAGACTCCCTCCGTCTCGTCCTCGCCCCGTGCTGGGCCCTGGGATAGCAGGATAAACGGATAGCCCAGGGCTTCATAGAGCTTCTGATCTCTCCCCAGGCACTTAGAAGCCAGGGTGCTAGGGGCTATGATGGGGAGGCACAAAGGGAGGACCCCCGACCTAGCCTGGGGGAATCCTGGTCAGCTGCCTGCAGGAAGCGACACCTGGTCTGAGACTTCTGCCATTCCTGCTAACTATTCTGCCTCATTTCTGGCCCCACGACCTCCTAGAGGTCTTACAGCCTGATGCTTCCCGTGAGTGCTTCATAGACTAGGAGGCACTGAGCAACTCCTGGTGCCCAGCCCCCAACTTAGCTCCATCCAAATGCAAGCAGTGGGTTGGGGGACTCCCTTGGGCTTGAGGGCGAGCGGTTTCCTCAGCAGCTCATACCCTTCCTCTCCAGGAATCCACCCTGAGTGATGACTCCACGCCCCCTAGCAGCAGCCCCAAGATCCCCAGTGGTCCCCGGCAGGAGACCAAGTGCTCCTACCCCTACCACACACTGTCCCAGTCTTCGGATGAGGTAAGCAAGCCCTGGGCTCTGAGTGTTGGGGCACAGGCCACGGGCCAGGTCTTCCCCCTCACCATCCTTGGTCTCTACCCCAGTTCCTGGACGAACCTCTCCCCGCGGTCCACCACTGGACCAGCCAGCAGGTGGGCCAATGGCTGCACAGCCTCAACCTGGAGCAGTATGTCGCCGAGTTCGCTGCGCGGCAGGTGGACGGGCCCCAGCTCCTGCAGCTGGATGGAAGCAAACTGAAGGTGTGTCAGGGGAGGAGAGCGGTGACCCAGCTGGACTCCAAGGCAACCTTCCAGGATTGGGATCCCCCCCAAACCCTGATCTTTGATTGCCTCTAAGGCCACTGCCCTGACCTCTGACCTGGGCAAGGTCCTTGGCCTGATCTTTGTACTCTAGCACGGGTCCGCTGTCGGACATGAAACTCGAACCCCGTCCTTCAGTTTGACCTTCAAGCCCCAGCTCAAGGCTCCAGGTTAACATTGACTTCTAGGACCGTCAAGAGTCAGATCAGCTGACTCCTGACTCTGAGTCCCTTGCTGTCGTAAGAAAGCAGGCCTCTGCCTGGTCACCTTGCCTGATTCTCAGTCTTAGAGGCTGCTGGTAGTCAGGGGAGGTCGGGTGGGCTCAGACCTCTGCACTGAGAGGTTTCTAGCCTGTTCCCCACCCTCCGCTACATTGCTTAGGCAAGAGGTGGTGAGGAGAGGCCCCCAGGGAGTCTCTGCAGTAGGGAGGGGCCTCGGCCACTGACTAGCAGTGTGACACTGGGCAAGTCATTCCCCATCTGTGGGCCTCTGGGGGCTGGGCAGGATGGTGCCAAGACTGAACTCCCGAGTGGAGGAATGGGAGCCGAGGATTGCTAGGGGTCGGGGCAGGGGGCAAAAGGCCTGGTACCCTCCATCATCCTCTTTCCGAAACGCTCCCCTTCGGAATTCCTGCCCTGGTTCTGATCCATGGGCCCATCTGGGAGGCAGAGGCCACACTTCTGGGAGGACCTACTGAGCTCCAGGCAGAGTACACCCCCGGGGCACCGCAAACTGGGGACTGGAGTTGGCCAGGGCCTGAGGGATTCTGGGGCTCTTTCCCTCACCCTTGAATTCCTCCCCAGAGCCTGGGGCTCAGCAACTCACATGACCGGACGCTAGTGAAGCGGAAGGTAAAGGAGCTGGCAGCCGCCGCTGAGAAGGAGCGCAAGGCCCGGGAGAAGGCCGCACGGCAGCGGGAGAAGCTCCGGCGCCGGGAGCAGGAGGCCAAGAAGAGCTAGGGGAGGGCGGGGGGCAGACACTGGCACCCAGGCGCTGGTGGCCGCCGGGCTCGGTGGGCACAGGCCTCAGTGGGGAGGCGGGGCCTGGGCGCCAAGCTTGGGCTGGCCGGGCCCCACACTCTCAGGGGGGTACACGCCCTCTCTCACCCTGTCACTGTCTGGACCCAGATCCCCCAGAAAGGGAGACCCCAGGAGAGGGCCCAGTAATAAATCCAGTTTTAAGGACTTGTTTGGCACAGAGTTCCTAGGGGAGCTGGCAGGTTATGGGCAGAGGACCAAGAGGCCAGGGCTGACGCAAGTCAGGGAACCCTGAGGCACATGGGTCAGTCTGATCATCTACCCTCGGGCCATGGCCACGCTGGCCGGCCGTGAGGTAAGGCATCTGCCTGCCAGCTGGCCTGTCTGCCTTCTAGATGCTCGGAGATAAGGCCTAGGTCCCAGGGCTCAGAGAGGCAGGAAACCTCTCAGCAGGAGCGAGTGGACAGAGTCACTCCTCTCCAGCCCTCCAAGGTGGCTGTGTGCTGGAAGAGCTCTCTTCTGCTCCCAGGGGAGGCTGGTAGGCGCTGCAGCAGCCCGCACTCAGGGTAGACTCCCAGCCTCCACATGGCGGGAGAGCACAGAGAGCAGCAAGGGTAGCCCACACAACCTTGGCCAGGACTTTGGGAGCAGGAAGGGACAATGAAAACGTCCTTCTCTTTCCCCTTCCTGGTCCTGTGGGTCCCAATGGTGAGATGACATCCATACAGGTCTGCCCCTCCTGGGGCCCACTCAAGGCCTGGTCTTTGACCTACTCCCTGACACAGGGCCCACTTCTATTGCTCCCTCAAAGAACGGCTGAGCCCTCTCTGGGGACAGAGCCAACTTGGGAGCTGGGGGTGTGTGTGACAGAGGACACTCCTAACCAATGCGTAGGTCACACTGAACAGGTGAGCCCTCACCCCAGCCAGGTAGAGAGTCAAACTCTAGGAGTTCCCCTGGAATCTACTGGAAGGGTTCATCAGCCTTCCCCCATCTGCTCTGGTCCCTGTCAGGGTCTCAGTGGGTTCCAAAACTGGCACGCTGTGCAGGCTCTGGTTCTCTGGGCCATGACGAAGGGTCGCGCCAGGCCCCTGGGTGGGGCTGGGATCTATCCTGTGAGGAGGAAGCGTTCAGGTACAGCACTGGCCAGCAGCTCCTGCAGGACTGGCCGGTGACCAGCGGGGCTAGGGGCCTTCTGGTTAGAAGTCCACCTCCCCCTTCACCTGCCCGGAGCGGTGGACAGGACCTAGTGCATGCCACCTCTCCTCGTTCCTGCTCTGGGGCCATGGCTCCAAGGCCATCCCTGCTCTGGCCACGGTCTGGTCCCTGGGACTCAGCCCTTTACTTCTCTCTGCCATCTGTATGGGGAGAGGAGCCACACAGGAAACTGAGCTATGGGGGCACCGGCACCATCAGGGTCTGCTGGAGAGGCTGGTGGGGAGGGCGGAAGGCACCCAGGCCTTTGAAACGATCAGGAGCTGTATGGGCACCCACCTGCATGTGAAGGGAGGGTGGTACTCCATTTATTTCAATAAACACGATGTGCCAGTGACCTTTGTCTGCCCCCGCTGGGAGGCTGGGCTGGGGCGGGAGGCAGCGCCGGGCCCTGAGCCTGGAGGGGTGACACATCTGCCCCCCGGGGCTGCTGTGTCAGGTGTCCTGAAGGGATGGCTCTGCCTGGCGGTGTGCTCGTGGGACGCACTGAGTCATGCCCTGGGCTGGGTATCCCGAGTGCGTCATATGGCAGTCACAGGGTCTGCGGTCTGGTCTGCGTGCCTCTGTGCCTGTGGCTCTCTCCCCTCCCCCTCCTACCCCAGGAAAGCAGCCGGGCCATGGTCTCATTCAATCTCCTCTTTACTGCAGATGTCACGGTCATCGTCACAGCCACTGGGAGGAGCACACCACTTTAACCCCCGTGTGCTAAGGGGAAGGGTGGGGACTTTTCGGAGCTACAAAACTAACTATGTACATAGAGCATTCTAGGGAGAAAGCTACCCCAAGCACGTGCATGTCCAGGCACAGTGGGAGCAGGGGTCTGGAGCTCAGGCGGGACTGTGTGGGTGTGGGGTGGGCAAGGGGCCGTGTATGGGTGAGGACATGCCGGGCAGGGGCTCGGGAGGCGCCTGAGGGGTTCTGAGCAGTTTGGCTAAACAGCTGATCTCTGGGTCCTCCCCAGGTCCTCCACTTTAAGGGTATGCTCTGGGTGAGAACTGTCCCCTCCTAACCTTCACCTTCAAGCCTAGGGTAGAGGGAGAGGCTGCAGGACCACGTCCCCAAACAGGGGCACAAGGGGGCAACCCCTTTCTCTACCCAGGAACACTGGCCCCTGGCTAGCGCTGACCCTGGGCCAGTGCTGGAGTCCCCGCATGGGCCGGGGTGGGGGATAAGGCAAGCAGGGTGTCCGCTTGGAAGGCCAGGGCTGTGGACGGCAGTGAGGGGGACCCAGTACCCCTGGAAGAAAAGTGGCAGCTCTGGTCTCAGAAGGAGCATGGTCATGGAAACATGACTCTGGGACACCCCCCCACATTATGATGGAGACGTCCCCCCATCCTTAGGCACCGCCCACAGAGACCAAACACCAGGGAGACCACCGAGGGGTCTCCGCGGAGATGGAGATTGGCACTTAGACCACAGACTGGTCACCGCAGTGACTTCCACAGAGACAGAAGCTGGTCATTAGGGAGAGCCCTCCCCCCACCTGGGGGGGGGGAGGAGGGTCACTGTGGTGGCCAATCCCAGAGACAACAGTCCGTCCTCTCAGGTGCAGGGGAGCAGGGCAGCCCTTAGCTGACCCGGTACGTGGATGTGTTCTTCGGCTCTGTGCTGGGCACACACCAGTCGCCGGCCTCCTGGATGGTCTGGTAGTGGCGCCAGGCTGACTTGTTGTAGACGGGCAGGCGTTCCACTGAGTCCGTGGACAGGGCCTGGAGAGCACCGGGGTCAGCCCATCCCCCTTCCCAGTGCCTCACCCATGTCTCGGTCAATCACCCTTTCCCCGGGGTGCGTTGTGGGGGTGTCAGACCATGACCTGCCCCGTGTCTGAGTCAGCCCAGCTAGGTGCCAGACACTGGCTGAGACAACGAACCCTGGCCCAGAAAGACCCAGGAAAGGACCTGTCCCTTCTGTGCCTTGCTCCTGCCCATTCCAGAAGACTACTCACTCAAAGAGTCAGGGAGGCAGAGGTAAGGTGGACTGTGACCTTGAAGAAGGTCATGAACTCTGGGTCTCAGTCTGGTCCTGAGCTAAATGACAAGTTCTCTATGGCAGCCCCCCTTCCCTCTGCATATAAGAAGTCAAAGGTCCCCAAAACAAGGGTCCTAGTCATGGACCAAGGACTTCCTTAAACTGCCTGCCGAGGTGGGGATGTCTGCCGGCTGGGAACTGTAGCTTTGCTCTGATTCTCAGTCTGGAAGGAGTAGAGGGGTGGAGATGGAACGTAAAAGCAGGCTGACCTGCCAGCACAGCCTGCAAGCTGGTCCCCGCACCAGGACCCTCACCTTGAGATAGATGACCGCATCGGTCCCAAAGCCCTCCATGGAGAAGAGCTGCAGGTCTCCCTGGAAGTACTTGGCATAGAGGCGGGAGATGGGGAGCCCGTACCCGAAGCCAGCCTACAATGGGGCAGGAAGGGAGAGTGACCAGGAGGTGGGTCTGGGCCTCCCGGAGCAGAAGGACCAATGTGCTGAGTTGGGGTCGGGCCTGACGATTCCCAGAATTCCTCAGGGGTCGGGGTAGTCAGTCTGGTGGAGCCAGAAAGGCTGAGCAGTCCCAGCCGCGGGTGGTAGTCAACGGGGGTGGCGGAGGAGCTCAGCCCTGGGAGCCAGCGGGTGTGGACAGGTCTCGGGGCTCCTGGGTCTCAAGTTCCCAAACCCAGCCCCACCTGCTCTACTGGGAATGACAGAGCTGCTGATGAGTGAACTCTGTGGGGTGCCACTGGGAGAAATGAGGAGAGACAGACACCCGCAGCTCAGGTGGGGGGGTTGCTGCAGTCTAGGGGGAATGGGAGGAGCAGGGGGGCCCAGACTGGAGAAGGTGACCGATGCTCATACAGCTACACAAGAACAAAGACCATGGGAGGTGAGGAGGTGAGAGACGGGGAGAGTGACAGTTTGATGAGAAGAGGAGAAAAGACAAGAGGCCTTAGGAGGCAGGGGGCACTGGAGGGAAACCATCTCACCAGTGGGGTCCCTCCGGTGCCGGGCTGGGGGGTGGGCGCCGTGGAGTACATGTAGCTAAAGAGTCGCTCAATCTTCCGCAGGGGGACTCCCCCACCTCGGTCACTCATCTAGGGGAGACGGACATGGCTTCAGTGCTCACGCCCCGCCCCGACACCCCTGACCTCTTGGTCGTCCCCATCCCCAGGGTGTCCTCTAAGCCCATCTCCTGGTAGGGGCGCAAGTCCCCATCCCACTGCTCTCCGGCCCCCAAATCAAGGGCCACATACTTTGATGGACAGATCTTCCTCACCCAAGGCCACCATGACCTTGATAGGTGGGAGGACAAGGCTGGACTCGTGGCTTTCCACAGTGGCACGCATGGCATTCTGTGGAGGGAGAGGCAGAAGAGATGAGTGAGAGTGGCCTAGCCCTAACCATCCCCCAAGGCTGCAGAGAACCATCCCCGCCCCCTTACCTTGAAGAGTTCAAAAAGCATGTGGTAGAGGTGAGACGGGACATAGACCATGTGAATTGGCTGTTCAGAGTTGGACGCTGCTGGGGAAGTCAAGACCAAGGATCAGTCAATTGTCAAGAGGTCACCATTCAGCATTCGCTGACGCAGCACCTAGCACCCGGCACTCAACCAATCCCCCATTTATCCTCTAGCATTTGTTCACCCACCTGTCTATCCATTCGGTATCCATCCATCACATGGTGTCTGTCCATCCACCGTCCATCCAACCACTGTATCCGTGCAACATCCACTAATTCCTCTAGCTACCCTTCCAGTGTCCATTCAACCATCCGACTGTCCCTCAACTACGCATCTGTCCCAACATCCATCCATCCCATCTACCCATGAATTCGGAGTCCAGATTCAGCCTTCCACTCACCCACTGTTCATCTAGCCCCTTCATCCATTCAAAAAGTATCTATCCAGCCTAGATCCAGTCTACTAGCATTCACCTGGACCCCAGAGGCCCTGGAGAGCTTTTTAATCCAGTGGGGAGAGGGGAGGACTGCCACACACGGTTCTGACTCCAGCACTCTGCCTCTCGAGAATCGCTCTAGCCTCGAGAGCTTCTTGGTGTGAGGGGCTGAAAGTCTTCTCCTGGTGCCTGGCACAGAGCTCTGTTTGCAGCAGGAGCTCAATGACTGGGCATGGATTAGCGAACGAAGGAATCTCGGGCCCCAT